TTTTATATAAATATAAATTTATATATATATTAGTATATATATGAATTTATATAAGTATAAAATATTTCTGTCTGAGGTTGGAAATTTTTAGCTAGAGAAGTTCTGACTATGTTCACTTCACTCTGTGTTCCCTGTGCTTGCAGGCTTTTGTGATGACCATGCTGCATTTTATTTTCTTTCCAGATCTGTTATGTGCCGACAAAATGAGAGAAAAGACGATGTTCAGAAGCACCTCAATTTACTGAAAGAAAGGTAAGGAAGTATAATTAGGAAAAAAAAAAAAAGGAGGAGAGAGGGGATTTAGTTTACCCAGTTGTTTTGTTCTAAGCTTACAGAATTGCTCGTGGGAGCAATCATGTTTAGGAAATCTTGGAAGGGAGAGTTGATGCAAAATCAAGGAGAGAAATGTCGTGATGGTACGCTGATCGACACAGACAAGCAAGAGTTTTACCACTTTAACCACTTCTGTATGAGTGATAGAACCTGGGAGGTATTCTTAGAGCTCCTTGAATCAGCTTTGTTCTCTCTATAGAGGGTTTAAATTTGTGGGCAGCTGTTTATTTTGTTGCCGTTTTATGATGGTGGTGGGAGCAGTTAAAGCTAAATTTTCTTAAATGCTAATTCATTTTCTGACTGCTGAAGTTTCTTCAAAGAGAATTGAAATTTCGTGTTGGGCCATAACTTGTAGCCTTTTTATGTCACTGTGGGAGTAATTACATATGCTTGAGTGTCTGACAGTTTTTGTGTGCATGTGTGTCAGTATACCAGGCTCTTAGAAACATGGAGCCTGAGCCTGTATGTTACTTTCTTTGTTCTTACAGTTCCTCGAGATTGAAATGCAAGGAGCTAGTTTTTCATAAATATTTTGTTGTTTGTTTTTTTACTGTTTAATTTCTGAGTTGCCAAACTCCTGCAATCTCATCTGAGGTGCATGGAAATTGTGGCAGTTTGGTGTATCTAACAGACAGATCCAACTTGGAAGAATTCAAGTCTTCCTCCAAATCAGAAGGACCTTTGAGAGCAAGCTAAATGTCTTCCTCTGGCAGAAAACTATATGTCATGTTTCGCAAAAGCACCTACAGATTTTACTAAAATGGTCTTTGGAAGCAGTTAAAAATGCTGCTTTTAGAACTTGGTCTCACTTTGAAAAGCAGAAAGGTAGAACTGGGAAAATATTAGTTAATGTCAGTTCACAGTCAGGGAGCGTGCAGGCCAATGGGGTAGAAACCACACACGTCAGTGTGTTAGCAAGGGTTAGAAAGGTGAGATTTTTTGTTCCTGGTTCCTTCCCGAAACATCTATTCCACATGATTTTGCAAAAAATTCAAGACAGCTTTTCTTCCTGTCTGGATCCTTTTACTTCAGTGGCAGCATTGGACTAAATTGTGTTTAGTTTTTCCCCAGAGAAGTCATTAGCGAGTTTTCTTTTTGCGTTGCAAAGACCTCCAAACAAGTCATGCTTTCCTCTTTCTCTGATAAAGGGTGCTGAGACTTTTCAGGACTTTAAAGGTGCCTCCAGGGAAGCTGAGCAATGTGAAGAATGTCCTGAGCCTTCAAATGGCGGAGAAACAAATGCTGGAGACAAATGAGGAGTCTTTGCTACAATTGCAGGTATGAAAGCCAAGAAAGGGAAGAAGTATCTGACCCGTCTGATGCTGCTCAGTGCGTTGTAACTTCTTAGTAGACGGGCTGCTGGCTACGCCTGTGCTGTTGTGCTGCCCACTGGTCATCCTTGTCTCCAGAACAGTGTATCTTTTTGGGTGGTTTTTCAGTGACTGAGCTGATGCTGATTATCAGTACCTCACCATCTCTAGAGTAAGTTTTGTTCTGGTTTTGTGTCCGTTTTGTCTTAGGAAGAAATAACTGAAGCTGAGCGATCAGCAGAACGCATTGAAGAAAACATAAAGCAACTGCAGTACAAAATCCAGGTGCTCAAGAACCGGTTAGAGGGAGATGAAGAAAAGGCCAGGAAGGTATTTCCAGTAGATGTTGCTGCACGTCTCTAACCTGGAGGAGCGGGCTGGCTTCCAGAGCTGTCCCATACAAGCTGTTTCTGCAGAGGGTGTCATATAGGGAAGGCCTCACTTGCCTTTGGGAGTGTCTCTTTTCGCTCTTTCCGGCTGCAGTTGCAAAACTAAGAAGTTTAATTTGCAGGAGTTGGATAATGACAGTCAGGTTATTTTCCTACTTGTGTGCCTGATGTTTGGTTTTGGCTTATTTTTGTTTTCTCTGGTTTTTTTTGCCTTTCTAGGTATTCCAGGTAAATGGCAGTGGAGTGCTCCACCTTCCAGAACTCCCCGAGCGCAGTTTCCAGGCACCCATTTTGCAGGTGAGCATGGAATGTATTTTCAGAGACACCTTTGGCTGTGAGAAGGAAAGTGACAGAATGTGCTTTTATCTCTTAACCTCTACTGGAGGGGGCAATTCTGAAGTTCTCTTTTCAATTTTCCTCTTTTTTTTTTTTTTCTTTTCCCTGGGAGCTATATGTTTACATTATAAAAGCAGAACAAAACCCTAGAGAACCTGCCTTTTAAAGGATCACGTGTCTTTTCCTAGGAACCCTATGGCCCTAGGGAACCTGTAATCATTTGTGAAATACGTCTCTCTGTAAGTGATGGAAGGAAGACTGTCTCATTCTGTGTCTTTGAATCATTTTTTATTTTAGCTGTATTTAGGTTCAGTTAGGCTGCATGAAAGTGAAATTTCTGTTGAACGCAATGAAAGCAATTTGTTATTTGTTGCCTACTATTCTTTCTTTCCTTCCTTAGGAGGAAATTTTAAAGGTAAAAAATCAGAAAGGCCTTTTAGAGGACATGAACACTATTCAACAGTCAGATGACTTGAAGGACATGTTGACCCTCATTGAAAAGACTTACGAGAAGGTGGATTTCCTTTGAGAAACTGAAATATGTGGAGTCTCCTTTGAAGAAGATATCCTGGGCCAGCACTCTGTGCTAATGTAGAGCAGTGGGATGCTGACCGTGGAAGAAGTGTTTTCTTCCTGATGGCTTTACTGTTGTGAGTGCTGGATTTCTGTTAAAACGTGCTCTGTGACTATTGGCATATAAATCTGTAGGTGCATTCTGGGACTCCAGTGGTTAAGTGATCAGCTCAGTTTTTTGGGGTTGGTTTTTTTTTTTTTTTTTTGGACCTTCATTAGAAGTGATGACTTCTAATGATGATCTATACTGTCTTGGGAGAAGGGAGGGAAATGGGTGCTGGGTTTATTGGGGCGCTTCTGTCGAATAAGGCATTGTATTCCATTCTATTTAGACTTTTATGTCACATTTGTAAATCAGTGAAGGTTTTTTACCCAACTAACTTCTGTTTTGGAGCTAAATCCTGTTTAAACCTGAAACATGTAGTAAAATATGATTATCTAACGCTTAGTTGCAAATCCTCTGTTCAACATTCTTACCATTTTATAATAAAAACACCTCCCTGGCAGTAAATTGAATCATTTTTATCAAATGTACAGGATTGTTTTTACTTTTTAAGTGGTGAATATGAAAAAGACATTCACACCCATTCAACGGTTAGTTGGGGAAAGCAGAAAAGAACTTTGCAGAGCAAAGCTCTAATCTCAGAGTTGTGTACTCACCTCATATTCCACTGTCAGATATTCTTCAGCTTCAGAGGGAGAAAATTGAGTCAAAAGTCTGTTTTCCCATGCACTTTAATCTCTCCTCTATTTTTTCAATGCTAGAGCTTCTCCCTTAGAAGATTCAGTTATTATAAAGCGCTTTCTCCCATCAAATTATCTGCTAGAAAACATCAGTGCTCTTTACATTGACTTGCCACACAAACACTTGTTCTTTTGTGGACAAGCTGCTGGTACTCTTAATGAGACACGAGCTAATTATCTCTATTCTCCTAGTAGAGATTAAAAGCCTCCCTGCTGCATGTAGGATCAGGAAAACCAGACTAAGTACTTGCTTGCTTTGTTCTGAATCACATGGAAGAAATATGTAAGTATTTAGAAATATTTCTCCAGATTTTTGATCACTCGACAAGGGAAGCACTTACTGACATAACCACTACTCCGAAGTAATTTAATCCGGATTATGGGTTAGTGGTTTCCCTTCATGCCAGCTACTTTAATTTTTGTCAAGTAAAGATAGACTCCTTTGCGTTCATTAAGGGTGATCTGCTTATGAGCAACCTACTCTGTGGGTTTTGAACTTTATGAACCACATAGATACTGTTGTTCTTTTTATAAAAAAAAAAAAAAAGTGTGGCAAAGGGCAGTAAGTAGGAGAGGTATGATAGAGCTTTCATACAAGGAAAGTTGAAACAGCAGTAACTGAAGAAGGAAATAATAAAGATGTAAAGCATTTTATGAAAGCATTGAGTAGGGATTGGTTGCTCGCAGCTTTTTACAGCCTAGGAATGAGGGAGCAGCTGGTTTCGTGGCTAGACAGCAAGTTCTTAAAGTACTCTGTGTAAAAGCGCCAGAAGGTTCTGTGTAAACCAAAGTGTACAAATAGGGGTGAAAAAGAAATAAACAAATTGATGAAGCATGAGTTCATCAGAGACAATTAAATGGTTTGGACAAGGTAGTGATAGGTTGTAGATGTACTTTTAATCGTGCATACTGACTTTGAAAGACAGGCTACCAAAGTAGGATGGATTTTTTTCTTACCTATTTGCAGCATTTCTTATGTTTCCCTAAGAAAGGCTGTAAGCACAAGGCCTTTTGCAGTTATTCCTCTGTGCTCAGCTCCTGGAATTGAGATTCGCCGTCTCTTCTCTTCCTTCCAAATCTGTTTTTTCAGATTGCAGAGTGCTATGCTCAATATAGTGTTCATATGCAAAGAGGAAGCGCTCCTTGGGAAAGGGGTATAATGCCTCTTATGTGTGTTAAATGCTATTTCTTTGTTACTCCTAAAACCAGTTTTGTCCAGCTCTTGGTCTGTATTTCCTGAGCTGATCATTGGTGAGTTCCTTGTAGCTGAGAGGCCTCCTGTGCCAAGCCTCCTCTTATCATCCTTGTGGCTCTCCTCTGTCCCATCACTTATCACCCTGTACCTGTACTTCTCAGCACCGCATCCCGTATCTCCATTTCTCAAGGCCTCTGCTATCATTCTCTGCCTGTATGTCTCTATACTGCGTCATTTTATTACTCATAAATATCTCATTTGACATAGAATAACTGCTTGTTACTGCTGTCTGTATAAAATTGTGGTTGTACCATACAAAGATGACTAAACTAAACTATTTATTCATAGACACCTGGTCAACTAAAGGAAATGCTAGATTACATAGCTAAGGAAAACATTCAGAAAGGTTAACCTCAATCCTGAGGCTTTGTAACGGCAGTGCAAAGCTGTCACTAGCTATGGAGGTACTGCATCACAAGGCTAGGTAATTAGCAAGCCATGATTATTTTAATTGATTTTTTTTTTTCCTGACATTGGGTGATTTCCTTAGGCTGGCTGGCTGTGGATGTTGTTCCTTTGGGGTTGTCATGCACATGTGACAGGACAACATAAAACAGGAACCGAAATCCAGACTTTTAGGAGGTGGTCTTATCTCAACTTATCTGGTGGTGGATACTCTTGGGCAGAGTTGCAGAATGATCAGATTGGGGTTTCTGATGAGATTAGAGGACTCTTCTAGGAGAAGGCTCGCTGTGGATCAGTGTGCGTGGAGCTGTGTGATTTGTGAACTTGTGTGGTTTGACCTGGGAGCACCTGAAACGTCAATTTCACAAAGCTTGGCTTCAGGTAGGTAAGTTACAAGCCACCGATTTCTTAAGATGTAGCAGGAATATCAATCTGTATCCCATATCAGCCCTTCCTCACGTTCAAGTGCTGTCCTGTAGCACTTCAATGTTCCTTCCCTGTTGACCCTTCTGCCTTGTGCTATAGATGATCAAGTCCAAATCAAAAGGACAATATGGGTCATCATCATCAAACTGGACTGACAGGGAGAACCGAAAACTCAGTCAAAGGGTGAACAGGGCTGGCACCTCAAAATGATGCTTGGGGCTGCTTAGCTGGGTTGATTTTCTCTTTGGCAGAATGTGTCGCAGTTTATCTCTGGCTCTTCGTTCCCTCATGATATGAAGCTTGGCACTGAGAATGAGAATTGCCTACTTTCAATGCAGTGAGAAGAAAAAGGATAGTTATAAGTGTGTGCAAAGCAGATCATTCACTGGTATGAATGCAAAGAGATTAAATGCCTAAAAAAAAGGAAAGGTTCTTGCTAGAGCTTATACTCTTGAACAAGCCTTTTGACACTTTATTAACTGCTTACAGGGTCCCTCCTCCTGTAAAAGTGGGGCTGGCTCTGGCTTTGGTTTCCATGCTTCCCAAAAGAAAGAAAGAATAAAGCTTTTAGGAACAGTGTACCAGTTTATAACAATTTGGACCAATAAAATTAGAGTTTTAAGATTCTAGGACAAGGACTCCCGGCATTCTTCACGCAGAAGCAGCCACAAAGCAGGTGCATTTTATCGTCTCAAGTTTATCACTGTGCTTTGGAAGGACAAGCTGCAAGACTGAAAGCCGGTAAGCAGCCAGGTGGTCTTCTGGTGCAATATTTGATTTCGGTCTGAAAGTACTTCCAAGGCATGAGGTGTGAGAACTATCCTTAAGTAAAAGTAGCTGTATATTCATACACGTATCAGTGCTGCCTTTGGTCATAGCTGCATGTATGCTGATGTGCTGTGACACAGAGGCAATTTTCCCCTTGAAAATGGTGAGAAAATGGAGTATAAGCTTCAAGAAAGGTAAATATGCCCATGTGATCATAGAATGGGCTAGTTTTTAAATTTTTTTCTGTTTGGTGAAGCAAGACAAGGAATAAGGGAAGGGCTTGAGACTGATGGTAGATCACATGGATACTGGAACGGGCATGAGTGTCTTAGTGGGGCAGGCTGGGCTTCACCATCTTGCTCTGTTCACATATCTCCACCCTGCCCTGGGGAGCAGATTGCCTGTGTTAAGTGTGTTGCTTAATGCTATGGTTTATTGGACCCTTAACCTGTCTGCTGAGGTCAAGAAGAGGCAATTAGTGCTGACAATTGTGTCGTTTCTCTGTTAAACAAAGCCCTGTCACTTGGAAACTGGACTAAATGTTTGAAACCTAAACATAGCCTGGAAGGAAGATTCAAGTTATGAGATGCAAAAGCCTTTAGAAAAAAATCCATGCTATGCAATCTTTAGAATTAAACAAAATAAGAAAACAGCCAGATTACGTTAAGAAGAAGTGAATAGAAACCTTTTTCTATGGGTAACAGGTCAGCCATAGCAGTAATCTTGGAGACTCCTTGGCTAACTTGCAGTAGATGATCAACTATAAGGTTAATACATCGTGCTGACGACGTAAGTCATCAATGCTAAGACTCTTCAACTTTTGTAGTATGAAGGTGCTTTTTATTCCCTTTACAAACAGGAAAATCAAATTGAGTAACACCTGATTGTTGTCTCACTTGCAACCTGTCTGTTGGATCAATACCTTTGTAGTAGCCATATAGCGTCTAATAAGTGAACATAGGAGTTGAGGATGGATGACCACCTAGGCCCTTGCTACAGGATTTACTGTTCTGTCTGTAATCCCGGGAGGTCACTGCTTATAAGATGTTCATTAGTAGTAAGATGGATACTTGATGGCTCCAATAATTTATAAGGTATGTTGATTTATAACGAACTGCAGGAGTCCTCTCTTAGGACGAGAGGAACTGGCCTCAAGTTGCACCAGGGGAGGTTTAGGTTGGACATCAGGAAAAATATCTTTACTGAAAGAGTGGTCAAACATTGGCACAGGCTGCCCAGGGAAGTGGTGGAGTCACCATCCCTGGAGGTGTTCAGAAAACATGTAGATGTGGCACTTGGGCACGTGGTTTAGTGGGCATGATGGTGTCGGATTGATGGTTGGACTTGGTGATCTCAGA